GTGCTGTGTCTCAGAGTTGATTCAGCGGGGCTGATTCGTGCTGTGTCTGAGTTGATTCAGTGGGGCTGATTCGTGCTGTGTCTCAGAGTTGATTCGGCAGGGCTGAGTTTTTCCCTGTCCCGGACTGGATTCAGTGGAGCTGAATTTTTTCTTCCCTTTCAGTGATTCGTTTCGTTCAGTGAATCAAATTCTTTTAGCATTTGACTGGTGCTATTTCATTTAAGGGTTGTTAGTGACCAAATCAAAATAACAAAATGAATGAATCTTTTGAATCAGGTCACTTAAATGATCTACAGCAAATCAAACGAATCGATTCGCTAAAAATAATTGAACTGCGCAGCTGCAAGTTTCCTTACTGGAGTTAGGGCAGCACCATTAATGAAAAGTAGGGGGGTGAGGTGGAGAGTGAGTTTGAAATTTGTAGAATTTGCTTATTAATGTTAATTATTTATTGTTTTGTGTTCAAGACTACTTTAAATTGATTAATTGCTGTTTATTGTTTTTTTTAATGTCTATATAGTTATCTAAGTCTTTTGCCATTTTTAAAGAGTACACCGTCTCACTTGGTTAGTTCCATGGGGGGAATTAGATGTAAATACCAGAAAATCCAGCTAAATCGGGCAATTTGGTTTGATTCCACTGACAGGTTAGTAGGTACAGTATATTCAGGGAATAGAAGCAATAAAAATAATTTATTCCTATTTCTGTTTATCTTGTTGCACCTCTTAATTTGCTGATACAATTTTCTAACCCACAATTAATGTTTTTCACTTGCATGTGTAAATAGTCTGTAAAATGTGACTTGCACTCGAATACCAATGGTGTCCAATCTGATTTTCTGGACCTAGACATCAGTGAAAAAGAAACTGAGGAAGGCATTCTCCTTGCAGTGTCTAAAATTTTGGGATTTTTAAATAACGGCAAAGACACTGAATGTGAAAGCTTATAAAGCACAGAGATCGAAAGTCAATCCTGCCCTCAAACTGGGTTCACATTTATCACCAGCATTCAGTGATCAACCAGTCTCTCTTTAAGCTTTTCATTTACAAGTTACTGCCTTTTACACCTTTTCTCCATAATGTGTCTCCTATGTTATAGTGTTTCTCCTGTGTTCCTCGCCCCAACACCGTCACTCGGACGTTAGCTCTCCTGCCCTCCCCTCCTCGGACCTGGGGGAGTCAGCACACAGTCAGCATGTGAGGTTCGGGTGGACATCTGTGTCAGGGAGAGAGCTGCAAAGAGACAAGGAGAGGTTAATGAAATGCTGAAACAAGCACTAATCCTTCACACCTGACAAAGGCTCACCAGTTGAGACATTGCACTCTTTCTTCCTACATTTCAGAAGTGTTCGGTTAGGGCATAATTCATCTCTGCCCTTTCCGCTAAGCACGTGTATGTGTTGACACTCATCGTGGTCGGCCAGTGTGTCGGCTGCACAGCAGCCGGAGCTGGTTCACTGCCGAGCAAATTTCGGAGTTGGCAGGAATGTGGAAATACAGCCCAAGAGGACGCTGAAAAGCTAAAAGGATTCCTGGCAGAGAGGCGGCTCTGATTACAGTCCACATTCCCCCACCATTTCCTCCTGCTTAAATCAATCTGATTCCAAAGCTGTAATTTGGCATATAAACCTTGCAGCGAAAATTGTACATCAAATTGCTGAGGCAAAATGGCCCATCTGAGAAAACGCTAAAAGTCTTCCCGTACTCTTCATAGTGTCGTGCAGGAAATGGGATTATCCAACAACTATTCTTAAAAAAAGAACATTTCCACAAAGTAAAATAGCTTAACAATACAAAAGACGTATGATTCACTTATTACCAAAGTGCCTCCATATTAGTATGGGCATTTCCTATTTCTCAAAGAGAAATTGTACAGTTCTTTTCAGAATTCGTATCATCTTTGAACGATCAAGACTTTTTTTCTCTCTCACTCTACTCTGCGATTTCATAGACATTTATTACACGTTCTTCCTTCTTTGCTCAGTCACAAAGAATGAAGACAGGGTTTCATTTCTGTAGGTTTAGAATTATGATAAACGCTTTGTAATAATGCAGTTATTGCAGATCTCACAGTTGGTGTCTTAAGAATTCTTCTCAATGTGGGATAATGAGGGTATACATTGCTCCGGGATAATCTGGGATGGAAAACACTATAAGATGCAAGAAACTAATTCTTCTCAAAGTGCAGCTGATGTTTCAGTTAATGTGCAGCCTGAGAATAAATGTAGAAATAGCCGTAACTTAACTTAAGCTGTGTATTGATTTTTCATTATGCATTAACATTGCCAGAATTTTTTTTTTCAGCAAATGGAACCTGGACAGAAGGTGCGATTCTATATTTGTACCATTACCCTAATTTCACACCCTATGTGAACACATAACAAATCCAATTCTGAGAGAATTACACCATTCAAAAATATTTGCATTTTTATTTTTCATCCCAAAAAGTATTATGAGGATATATTCATCAGGGGTATGCACGTTGGCCAACAATCTCAGTACCATACAACCTATTTTTTTCTTGCTTGTGTGTTTTGCATGTACACGGAAATAAGAAACACAGTCATTTTCTGCAGCCCTTCATAGAAATGATTGTTAATTGGTTTTATGCCTTTTTTTTTTGTTACAAATTTACATGTTGTAGGAAAATGACTTTGTTAACAATCAAACGCCAAACATTGAGCAATCACAGAAGGAAGAGCAGTCTGGCACAAAGAGTGCAGCGGACAAATCACATCCATTATGAAAAGGGATTTCAGTCTTACAAGAACGGAGCGACCTGGAACGTCAATATCAGAATTCCCATGCAGGACAGCCGTCACTCTGTTGGCAATCCCTAACAAAATGACCACGAGCAGCGAAAGACAGCCTTTTTTTTCACTTGCAGGAATTAACACACGACACTCAAAGGGCTCCGGTTTCTTTCTCCCGGTTTAGGTCAAACCCGGGATACCGTCGGTCTTCTCTTCAGCTTCCGGGACGGACAAGGACACGCCGTGCCTTCCGAAATGAGCCGCTACCCAGAGTGTAGCCTTCCCACGCCAGGATTGGGGGGGGGGGCTTCACAACGTCTCTTCGTCGTCCTCCGCCGTGCTGGCGTCCAGCATGGGCTGCAGGGACTCCTTCAGCGAGATGTCGTCCACCTGCTTCTCCTCGCTCTCGTCCCTCTCCTCCGGGATGGAGGGCGGCAGGCTGTCGGGGTCGGAGTTGCTGATGACGTAGCCCGGCAGGGTGGTGTGGCTGCTGACGGTCCGCCCCCCGCTGCGGTACACCCGGCTGGAGAGCAGGGCGGTGCGGGAGGTGCCGGCCAGCTGGGACTGGCTGCCGCTGCTGTTCAGGTTGGTGAGGACCGAGCCGTAGCGGTAGCTGCCGCACTGGGTGGTCTTCTTCCAGTCGAAGACGAGGTTCCAGCGAGCCCACGTCTTCTTGATCTCCGTCTGGACCTGCCAACGACCCAGCGGTTAGGGAGGGGGAAAAAAAAACAAGACTCGGGTCAATAAACGTGGCTAATCTGAGCCTTTTTTAACCCTCTGGCTGAGAGGGAGTGGGCGAGTGACAGGCTGCGCTCTCCCATGTGTGCTCTCAGGTAAGATCAGGCTGGAGAAATAAAGAACCAAAACTACGCCGACAGTTCCTCATTGTAGGATACCTGGTCTTTTGATGGGCTTTATAGGAGTAAATTAAGCAAGTATCATCATTATATATCATCACATTGTGGCAACTCTAACAGCACTGATAGCAACAGCTGTGCTGAATGTCTTGCACCAGGCCTTCTGATGCAACCCAAAGACAAGCAGAACACAAGAGCATCAGGCCTGCAGCCTTTTTCATTGATTGGCCATTTTTTTTGTGTGTGAGCCAGGTCTCATAATCTAACATTGACAACAATTTAATTACTCTCTTTACATCATAATGTTACACATAGGGGGTTACGAAAATAGCACATTACAAAGTGACGCAGCGGCTCAATCAATTACAATTAATCATTACCCCCGATTTGTAAAGATTTGGCCAAGACTATAACTGAGCAGTTGGTGTAACGGGAGGCCCGTGAGTTCTTTGTTCTCTGGCACAGCTTTGGTGAAAATAGTAATAATTCCGGCACACTGGATTAAACAGATATTTAATAGCAATTGCAGTACACACAAAGAACAACACAAAAGTTACACTATTTACAAACTTTCAAATAAGGCGTCGCCGAGGTGTCTACATCCTGACCACCACAAAAACCCCAGACTGCTACCAAGTATTCAGACTCTTATTTAATGCCTACAAAGGACCAAAGAACAGAACACTGCCGTCTAAACTAAACAGCAAATGACCTACGGTTAAATTTCTTTCTGTAAACCCACTGATGTGACAAAATCAATGGGAAGCCAATCTCCCCAATCTCCCTATTCTAACACTGACCAGGAGAGACCGTTTTTAGCCCAGGGATTCTTTACACAGGAAATCAGCATTCCTGAATAGCAAGCTCTCTGATCATCTTTATGGATGATCAGGACAAGGAGCTCTTGCCTTCTGCCTTTCTGTCTCTTCCCATGTCCTCCTGTCTCTTTCTCCTCTGTTTTCCTTTTTTTCTCTCCCTACCAGCCTGCTTTATGCTGTCTTCTTGGACTGTTGATTGACACTTCATCATTGACCCAGACCTTAACTAACGAAGGTAAGCTTTACAGTTGCTTTGATCACTGAATCTCGGATCCCTACATTTCGGCAGACGTCTCCTTGCTTTGAAGCTGGAAATGTTGGCACTCGTCAGGTGTTGTCCATTGTATCTCGATCCTTAAAGACAATTCTTAACAATATATTTATAAAAAAAGCCATAAAACATCCCTTTTGACCCATAATTACAATGTGTAGACTTCTGTTGAAACTACTTTTTCCTAGTCATAGTCTACCTCATGCTTTTGGGAAGGGAAAGAGGACCATGATGCTCTATTTTTCTGCTAGAAAATTGCAGTCAGGCTGACACACATTCCTGAACGATACAAATTAGGAAAAAGACCACTCACCTCTCCATTGCAGTAGCAATAAATGATAGACACGAAAAATCCCTGAAACACAAAACAGAAACACAGTGGTGCACTAAGCATAGTCAAGAGCAGCTGTTTGACATCCGAGTGATTCAGACAGAAATGGAAATGAAATAGCTTTTTGGAGTCCTTGAGATGAGCATGACCTATAAAAAAGTATGGCATTCGAGGAGCTAGCGCATTCTGGAATGAGAGCAATGTGGGCAGATAAGAAATGTTCAGTATGTGTAAAATGTTTTATATTTCCAGTGAACTTTCTGCTGCTCATACGGTGTAGTAAAACAGTGGGTTATGGATCATGTACAGACATGAATGCAAACATTTATTTTATTATAAATAGCAACAACTATATCATCAATATCAATAAATGTGAATTATTACAATGTAAATAACAACAATAATTATAAATAATCAAAATGAACACAATTATTTTCTTTGGAAAAATATTATAATAACAGGTGTAAGGGTTGAATGTTATAACAACCCAATGATACATTCTACTTCTTAAATAATAAAATAATAAAAATAGAGCATCTCAATAGTCATTTTTATATACGGTATAACCAAAATAATATCAATATTCAGATATATTTTAAGGCAGCATACTGTATATAGAAAGAACACAAAAGAATTTCAGTTAATTCTTATTCATGAGTAAATATGTATGAATATATGTGCAGTATGAACAAAATGTTTACAATTTTTGGTAAGCAGGAAAACTCTTTGGTTTTAGCATTGTCAGTCAGTATCTAAATGTGCCACTCAGCTCTACTGTAGTACGAAACACTACAATAGAACAGCTTTAATATCTTTAAATTCTTCAGAAAATCCTGGCGATCTGTTGCATTATGTAACAATACCTAATGAATAGTAACTAATGCATATCTTGACCCAGCATAATGTGTTGTTGTGTTTGAGGATGCTGTGGAACTATTTCTAACTCACTACAGCTGTCAGAAAAGAGCTAGGAAATACAGTCACTTAAAAGTAAATGCTAAAAGGATGATTTAATTATACACTTGTGTGCATGGGGTGAAGGTTAATTTAGTAGAAACAACTCTATCAAACTTTAAAATAAGTTTAAATGATTTTTAAAATAAATCCCTTTTGGAACCAACAAATACATTTGCAAAACTTGGCTTCAGCAGGTCTGCCTAGAGCATGAGATCAAATTTGCTGGCGGCTGATCTCGAAAAAGAAGTGAAACCAGTACCAGAGATTCTTTAAGGCAAAACGTGTCACCGGAGAAGTCTCTTCACCTTACTCATCGCTTGTCAGTCCTTATTACTGTGAATGCACATTTGGCAGCAGCAGTACTGCTGTGCACTGCTGTGCAGTGAGACTCCAAAGAGATAGCCTTTCTCGGTAATGATGCTGGTATCTAGCTTCTAAGTAAGGGCTCTTACACTTATCAAAGTATGATATACAGCACAAGCATAGCTGTGTAATGCGAGGAAACTTCTGCCAACAGAAAGAGTCCCTATAATGTTTGGGCAGCAAAACTTCTTTATTGTGAGGAGCTAACTTAGGTAAAGTCTTTTAATGTTGACTGCTCTGGTGCCCATTGTCTGACTGTAAATGAAGTCATGCTTCCTTTTGAGATCTACGTCTTATGTAACTAAGCACTAAGTTGTGGGAGGTGACTTGGGCTATTTGGCTCAACTCATGGATGGGATCCCAAAAGATCATCCAGATCAATATTCTGCATCCAAAAAAAAACAACAGATTAGCAGTTAAAGCTGAGGTGTGAATTTCAGATACACACAGATAGCCTCATTGCACATTTTACATAATTTCCACCATAACTGAAAATTGCATTAATGATGCCTGCATACATGCAGAGATAGATTTCTTAAAAATTCATGTATTTTTAAATGCACTCCATTAAGCCAAATACTCTGCTCCGCGAGAGCCTCTTCTGTTCCTTCCTCATTCAAAGCCTTAAAAACATCAAAGACAAACTCCGAGCCAGGATACTTCAAAACCACTCAGTTGATAAAGTCTATAAATGATTCCTAGTGTCTGACGTTACCTTTCACAATGTTCTGACAGATGGAGATAGAAATCCCTGTCATTTTTGTACATAAAAAGATACCCTTTTCATTACCACATTCAGCTGAGCTGAATTAAGAATGTTACACCGCTCAGATTCACACTTGCAGAAGCAAAGGCTGAGATAGTGGTTTCAAAGGTTAGAGCTTTCAAACTGCCGATTGCCCTGCAAGGGGGCAAGGGCAAGCACGACCTCTTGGGTCTGAGCGAGGTGGAAAAGCAAAGGGAACACATTATCGCAGCGTCTCTGCAAACACATATCACAATAATTGAGACACAAGTTGTCCATCATTGAAAGGGCAGGGCAGCAGGACAGCGTATTTGTCAAAACCCTTGTCTTTTCAGTTTATTATGACACAGCGAGCACAAGTCAAAACATCTAAGTGTAAAAAGAATTAAATACCTGGAAAGAGTTAAAGAAGAGTTCGAAGTACATGCGCACCTCCCACCCGATTCCCTGGAAGGTGTGAGGCATTCCTACAAACACTATATAATGAATTCCGAAAACCAGCACCAGCACCAGTGTGGACCTGGCCAGTTTCCTGAAAAAGAACAGGATTGTTAACTCACAGCAAACCCGGGTTCCGCTGGGGAGACAGAGGCCAACAGCGTGGCGAGGTCACTCGGCCCAGCTGTGCGTGTCAAGGAAGTAACATCTGGTGTACAGTCGGCTTTGTGAAGTTCCTTAGCAGTGTTTCTTTAGGCTTGGTAGGATTGTATTGTCCATTTATGGTAAGAATCGCATCTATCCTTAAAACAAAACACTTGGTATTACTAAGGAAACAGCAACGTCTCAAAAGAAATTCCATTTAGAAATCCCAGTGGTTTGCTCTGCTGCTCCTCCGTTGTTGTGTTTGTTCAGTTGGACCAGCAGGTACTTTTGCAATGTAATCAATCACAAAAATGTGGCAACCACTAGACCCACTAGACCAGTGTTTAGATCTAATTACATTGTGTCAGAGGAATATTGTTCTAAAATGGAATCATGCATTGTACATGACATGGGGCCTGGATGAACTGTTTTAAGTCTATTCCTGCCAAACTGTACTCATGATGCTCTTGTTCTAAAGTGGAATTTAAAACAAAACATAGAAACCATTATTTCTAGAAGAAGATTTTAGTGAAACATGCTGTAATGACCACACTAGTGCCAATCATGAAATAAATCAACGAAATGATAATTTACTGTAGTTAGATTTAACAACAATTAAGATTAACCTCTATTACAGTCCTTCAAACAAAAGCGTTTCCTAATTTTTAGAAATTGCAGAAAATTAGATTATTCACTTTTATTATTCTGTAATATGCTACTGCTGAAAAAGAAACTAATAAAACCAAAAATGATTCAAACTCATGATGGGCAAGCGTGATGATGTTAGTCATCCCTAAAAGCAGAGGACAAGAAGTCAGAGTAAAAACAAAAACGCAATCAAACAAAAAGTCAGAATCCTCTTATTACTCATTACATGTGCTTACAAAACAAATCCATTAGCTTTTAAAGTCTGATAATTTAGTTAATGAACACATAAATTAAGCACCAGAACATAAAAATGGGATTTAAAGGCAGAATGTATTAAACAAATGCCATTTGTCTGTTTATTTTCAGGCAGTATAAGAATGTATTGGAACAAATCTGAATATTGCCTTTAATTACTATTATTTATTGCTATTATTCATAATATTGTAGCCAGGGACCAAACATTATTCAATAGAAATGATAATTGTGTTTACAAGGAACATCATGCTCTGTCACCCATTGCTGATAACTCTTGCCTATTTCACTGTGCTTCTCAGAATCTCATGCTCTGGCATTACTCAATAAACAAAAAAAACACACACACAGTTAGAAAAGATAATCTCTTTTGATTCACAAAATTGGTTTCACAGAATTTAGCTGCATGCCAGCTATAAATCTGCATCTGTGTCTAATGGACCATAGGTTAGAGGAATGGCTACGGTAATATTGATTATAGTTATTTGCAAAAAAAATTCTATGTTTTGTGCCATTTTTACCCCTCGACTCTATTTTAGCATACAGAAATAACCCAGGCACATTTCAATTTATGTCTTAGTTGTCATTCACATTATTTATCAAAATGATAAGAGCTGCAAAAACATAACTGCATTACTGTTTTAGAAAAATAAGGTTGCTATTTGCTCAATTGTACTGAATAAACATTGGGAAATGATTGACACATCCTCCCAGATTTTTGTTCATTTTTGCAAAGTTATACTTGTTGGTTTCTCAGCGATCTAAAGATATTTATACCATGATCCCTTAAAAGCAAAGAGGAAACATTCTTGCAAAATTCTATGGTTTGGAACTGATAGTCAGAAAAAAAATACAGAGAAAGGACGATGCAACATAACAAAGCAAAATGTTTTTGATGAACAATAATGGAATTTTATACTGTAAGTTGCAATGGTGATTGATAACATGGTTCAAACAAGGAAAAAAGATATTTCAAAATCCTTCTATGGTGTTGATAATAAACACAATACATTGCTCATAGTGACATGAGTTATAATCCCTCTGAAAGCAGACATTAGTACCCGATTGTCACCGGGAGAGAAACCGGCCGATGCAAACTTCACTGAATTTTTGGTCAGATTTGATTCTGTGTTTTTCTACAGCATGTTTAGCATTCTTGTTCTGCATTTGCTGTGCATGTACAGTGTTAATTGGCACTTTGGCTTGCAATGGTACGACCTGGAGTAATTCTACATTGCGAATGGGCCACACGTCCTCTTGCAACAGTGCTGGTGCAGATTCTCTGACCGCACTGCCCTGCTGAGGCTCCTAGGAGCTCAAGTTGAAGGTCTACAGATCTCCACCTGCAGCACTACACTGATCATCACATGGGACCTCACTTACACATCTCGACATGCCAGTCTTCCAGCAGGACAGCATGCATCCCCAGGCACGCCGCACAACTGTGGCATTCTAGCCAGACGGGAATGTGACGGGTAGGATGTGGACTCCCCACTTCCCAGATTAGAGCCCCATTGAACATCCCTGTGGGATGAGCTGGCATGACGTGTGGCATCTAGGGCTCAGAGACCAGTGAAAAGGCATGTGCTTGTCCAGGCTGTATGAGAGGAGTGGGACGAGGTCCCACATGACAGCACCTGTAACCTGGCGACAAGTCTCTCCCAGCCACAGACACACACACTACTAAAATACTGGTCCAAAAAGGTTTCGTCATTGTCCTGACCACTTTGAGATTTTGTTGTAGTTGTAACTACAGTAATAAGTGTCTATGGATGGTCCGTACGAAGTGTAGTATTGATCATCCAAATATAAAATAAATACTGAATAATAACAAATTTGAAAATGTAAATTCATCAGATTTGTTATGACAGTTCTGGGGTTTAGCATAAATTACTGTGAACTGTCCACAATGACTGCAGAATACTCCATACATATTCAACAGGAAATATCCACCTGTACTGCTTCCTTGTGTCATATCTTCCTGCATTCGTTTCTCGGATTTTTGTTGCAAGGACTCTGACGATGTTCACAAACAAGACGAAATTCAACTAGAAACATAAAAATAAAGTAAAACGGTTAACTTTGGTTAAGCACAACAACATTACAATGACAATATTATTGTTTGATATGGTCTCTACAACTACCAAAGCTGAACTATTTTAATTACAAATATTTGCGATTCAAGTTCTTTGTAAAAAAAAATCTGAAAAAGCATAAATAATATGAATTGCCATTTTCTGGTATAATAAAACATGTTTTATATCTTGTTCACGGAAAAAACAGTTCTTATTAATGTGCTTCCTAGCAATGAAGCCTTGAGATAGATGTGTGTTCCATTTCTGCTTGATTTATTTTCTCTTGTCCTCCTTCAAAGGGACTTATAAAATAAATGAGGGATGATGTGGAGGGGTTGGATATTTACATTAGCCATGTGGATGGCCCTCTGAGGACTCAAAATGGAATATTAACGTGCCCCATGTGGGACCAAAAATGCTCATGGCAAAGCAGCTCTTTAAGAACATACTGTTCAACAATACAGAAGGGCAGAACTGCCAGTTCTGGTCCCAGGCAGCCACAGTCCAGATGTTATAGGTTATTTCTAATTATTTATTTGCCATAGCTTGCATCACAAACAGCCTGTGATCGATTTAATAAACTAATTGATTCAGAAATGGTCAAATATTGTCCTCGAGAGCTACAGGGTGTTGATGCATTCATGTTGGGTCACCTCCAGACAACTCAATTGAACAGAATGCATTCTTGGTCAAAATGAAATTGTTCCATGTGTTTAGAAATAGATGATTTAACCCAGGAATCCTGTTGGATTGTGGCTCCTCAGGACCAGGACCACAGTTGATTCTCCCCCCCGCCAAGACTGCATTTTTAATTCGAAGGTGCTTGAGATGCATGAGATATTCTCACCTTTATTACTACATAATAGTACAAGGGGTTCTCTTTCAGGACATTTGCTTTAAGAAAATGATTTATTTTAACAGGAGGATCTATTCCAGTCCAGACTGGTTGCCTCTAGTTTCTGTAAACAAAGCCACACATGACCTCATCCAGTTTAATGGGTTCTCCATGAATCTCTGCTGGGGGTCTCTTCAGCCGAGGCTGGCCTGGATACACCCAGCATGGTCCTCATAAACAAGTTTGAAGGGATGACTCCAAACAACACAGGAGGTGTTGAACTGATTTCCCCCTAGAAATACTGATTTTTAAATGATATCACAAGGAAATATAAATGTTTTTTCTCTCTCTCTCTCAAATGTATTGATCTAGTACAAACTCCTTGTAACACTACCAAGGCTTTCATTAACATCACTTCTGCAGCCAGAGTGCTGGCTGTTACAAGCATTCCTGATGCAAACATCAAAAACAGGGCGCCATCACCTTGTCGCTACATGTAACGTTAATGGTGCAATTAATTGGTACAGGATGACACACTGCATCGAGAGAGGTAATATAAAAAAAGCACAGACGTGATATTTAGACCAGTAAACAATTTCAGGTGTCCAAAATGAAGCACCAGTGTACGCACAGTACAAATCAAACATGTACAGGACAAGCTCAACTTTAAATGTTCAAATACATTCAAAGTTCAATAAAAAAACATTAAAACAACAAGATCAATACAAACATTCCATATAATAATTGTGCATTTAAAGAAAATGTAAGTGAAAGAAAATGTATCACCCTTTACTTTTGCAGTATAACGTTCTAGGATTTTTGTTTTTTACATGTAATCTATTCACTTACCCCAATGGCTGCTAAAATTGGAACCTGATAAATCCATTTAATATTACCAGCGCTTAGTTCCCAGCATCTGCAGAAAGAGGGAGAAAGATCAATGTGCTTTAAATCCCCTGCAGTGGGTTAAAAAGTAGTTAAAGTTCAAGTTCCTAATTTACAAATAAAGATAAAATAGAACTGTATAAAAAACTCACAAAGGCCTTACATTTAAATTAAACAGAAAATAATGTTTTCTTTTAAAAGTTCAGGTTTTGAATGCTGTTTTGATGTGCATCTAATATTGTCTGTCTTTGTCTCCTGTATGTATTTTTCTCTTACTCGACAGATACAAGGAAAACTCTTTACAGTATGTAAGTTTTGTAACTGATATTATATCAAAATATAGTTTATTTATAAATATTTTAAAATCCAGTCTTTCTCAAGAGATCTGAACGTGGGGAAAACACTGAAGTTTAATTTTGAATGGTTTTAGAATAATTTGTAGTGCTAGCTAAATTTATACCTTTCAGACATGTTTTTTCTAACAGAAAGAATGTCGACTTAAACGTTTCCAGGTACTGCCTTTCATCGAGAAACAAAGGATAAAAATAAAAATCGACCCTTTAGCATACCACTTTCTTTTGGTTCTTTTTCATTGAAATGCTAGTTAAAATGATGGTCAATATGCTATGTGTCCAGAAAATGTATTAACAACAATGATGTTGCCTATATCGAAGCACTGGGATCCGACAGAGAGCCCTGACAGCCCATTACATCAGAACCTCACTTCACACTCAACGACCAGTCCCAGGAAAAAACTACTGTATCTTACTGGGATAATCCTAACAGCAAACCCAGGACAGCAGGATTTCAACCCCTGAAGTTGCAGAGATTGTCCGTGATTCACTGTCAATTATTGAAGCCCAATCTCATTGCCTGGAGGGGGAGGGGCAACCATTGGCCCTGGAACCCCAGAGGTTTCTTTCCTCCCTCTGGGGTTTTTACAGATTTGTGTTCTTCTCCTCTGTGCCCACACAGTCAGCTGTTGTAATACTGTAAACTGCAATGCAAATCTGGAGAGCAAACTGTTATGAAAGGCGCTATAGCAAATAAAAGATTGATTGATTGGTAATTGTAGAAAATCAAATGCACTTATTAGTTGTCTCACGTACCACTGGTGTAAGGTGGATTAGTGAATCAAGGTGGATTCTGTGCTTGTAGGACTTCATGTTTTCCAGTGGGTGACAACCTCTCTGAAGTCGTTTAGCTGCCAAATCTCTGCTACTCATACACAGCAATAATCCTGTTTGGTTTGTATGTGACTTGTATACTAAGAGGCTTGCTCAACTGCCATTAACCAGTATTAACACTTTCTGAGACAGGTCTTTTCTGAAACAGGTTATCTTTATGTAAGATAAGAGTTAAAAAAATAAATACCTGTTTATCCAAATAAACGCATCCAAGTAACTGTTTCTCCAAATGACTTGAAACATGCACTTGAAATAGTCCAAACCTAAATACTACCAGATGCAGTCACAGAAGTACATGAAAACTTTCAAAATGACCACAGCTACTATAAAAATGTAACAGTTTATAACTCCTGAACTAAAACATTTAGTAAAATAAGGTATTGTACAAACAAATGTTTTTGGATTAATATACCCCACAATCCACTCACTCATCTAGATAAAGACATTGTGCAAATAAGGCCCAGCCAGTATGATGATAAAAATCTGAATTATTTATCTTTCAGTTCCCAGCTAGACAGAACTGTTTTCAGTTTTGAGAGTGTCTAGAACCCCTGGTGAGGTTATCTCACTGGTAGAGGAAGTCTTTGTGCACAGCAGTTCAAATCATTACAGAATAAGAAAAGCAGCATTAAAACTCAGATCTAAAGATGTGATAAAGCAAAAATAACATTCCAGCCTTTAGGCACTGAAGTAATGGCTCATTATTCACAATTCATTACTATCAGGACCTATCCTGACATCATCATAATGAAAAGTCTTTTCATATCCCTAAAATTCATTTCTCAAACATTTCCTAAACTTAGAAAAATACTATGAAAACCCAGCAACATTTATCGTACTCAGTAAAACCCATATGAGCATTATAAAAATGAACAAATATATATATTTAAAAGTACAGTAAGCCCAGCATAAACTTAACTTATAATAGGTTTATTCCATGCTGAAAGAAAGAAGAAAGAGAACACCACGTTTCGGCCGTGGGGCCTTCTTCAGGTGTGTGGACACACACCTGAAGAATGCTCCACGACCAAAACGTTGTGTTCTCTTTCTTCTTTTTTTCAGCATGGAATAAACCAATTACTTGTTCCTTTGCAGCCTACGCATGCTGACGCAGCTACCCACCTGAACTTAACTTATTATCAAGGTCATTTCAGTACAAGGTGTTATACTACAATGGTCATTAAAAAAGTTAAAAATGTAATTTATAGCAGTACAAAAATAAATTCTAATATAAAGTTCCGCCAAGAATGAAATGCAATATAGTCAATTGTTAGTGCAGAATATTATGGTCCCAAAAAGCTTCAGTGTTAAATATATGACATATTATAAATTATTACAGTTCAGAAGAGATTTTTGTTCAGCTTTATCTGTAGCTTCCTCCCTTGTTTGCTGTTTTTATTTTGTGAGGACTCCACCATGGATTCCAGAAGCAAGGCCCATGGTAAAAACCTTGCTTGCAAAAGACGGAAATGATCATGTCACAATCTTTTTTGCCAATAATTATTTTCCATACAAGAAAAAGACATTATGTTTCCCCCCAAACTGAGAGAAGCAGCTGTGAAGAAACAAAGAAGAGGAAACGTAACATTTTCACTGCAGAGCACTGCTTACCTCTGAGTCTAATACAACTGCTACATCTGAGAATCTGATCAGTGGCCTGATAAGTCTTGAGGATTGCATACTCCTCAGTTTTGTAGCACGTAGGTAAGAGCAAAGGAGGAGTTAGAAATGAAAGAAGACCATTCAGCCCACCTAGGCAGGTTGGAAGCTGGTAGTTCATTGATTCAAGAATCTCATCCATCCATTGTTTGAAGGAAGTCAGGATATCAGCTTCAGAAACATGTCTGAGTAACAGTCTCCAGGGTAGAAGATTGCCGCCGGTTCTCAGTTTGAAATCTGCTGGGCTGACTTTTGATTTTGTGTAGCTGGCCCCGGTGTGTGTGTCTGTGTGTGCCCTGCAGTGGACTGGTGTCCCATCTGGGATGTAACCTGTCTTGCTCCTGTTGCATTCTGGGATAGGGCTGTTTAGAAAATGAATGGATGGAGTGTTTCTAATGTACAGTAGATATGCAGAACCACCACTGCCTATTCTCCTAACATTTAGCCTGAAAGACTGTGTTGGGATAGAAAAACAAATCTCATCTTTCCCAGGATGGTTACTTCACACTGAACTCCATACTGATGTGATCAACTCACAGTTGCCAGGCATTTATGCTTTTTTTTGCCCCTTCACAATCCTTTAGAGCACTTTCTGGAACGATCCATGAAGCAAACGAGGAATGAGGAAGAGAGGACTTCCCTCTCAGCAGCAGAGCTCACAGGAAGAAGAGCTCTTTGATGCCATCAGGACCATCCTGATTCAAGCTGCTACACAAGAGGTCTTGGGCAATGCGTTGTGACAGAAAGGAGGTGTCTTACGAATAAAAACACTCAAAGGTAATCTAGGGCTTCATCTCCCTCTCACCTTGCGTCTGCAAGCGTTGCCCTGACAACTGCCCAGGCTGCCACAAACAGAGCCGGAACACCTGCAATTAAAACAAATGACACATTTAGTTGGGCCTACAAGCTCCCTGTTTTCACATTCCTCAGACGCTTGCAAATATAGCCAAAACCTCTACACCAGGAACAAGAGCTGCCCAAGTGGAAACATATAATTATTATTTTTGAAGAAGATCAAGCTTTTTGTTTCTTCTTTTAATCGCTGCGCTGCTCAGTCTTCCTAATGGCTAGCTTGATGGCCATTCAGGCAAAGAGTAACGCCTGTTCATCCGTGAGATGAGAAACCAATCGAAACAAACAGAGGGTGTTCACTGCGTGCTGTTAATGTTTGAGATAAGACGTCTTCTGGCTGAATGTGACGAGTGTGAAGCCAAGTGTAAGCAGTCCTGTTTGACCGGTGCGCCAGGGAAGGAGCTAATCAGAATACTCCTGCGCTCTTTCCTAAAACACAAACACTTAGCTGCATTCCGGACTGGGAATCTGCAAGAAGGAATAGGCATTTTGTGAGCACATCAAGCAAAGTTTCACGTCTTAATTAGTTAACCTAACACTCTTTTACATCAGTAAGGTCCTAGTGTGTGACTTGTATTTTAACATGTATTTTACCATCAACGAACTGTTCGCCCCTTAATGCAAGCCTAAGAAACAGAAAAACACATTAAGAAACTATATTTCTGATCACTGTACAGCACCACGAGGCTCTAACATTATAAAGCCTCATCCCTCTTGTCATCTCTTCTCATTCTCAGTTTTAAAGGCACTTCCTTCTCAAACTCCGGGTGTGTGCCCGTGTCACTAACTCTGAAGAAGTCTCTAGGGCTGACACTGCCCAGGTCTCGGGGGATTGTGAGCCTCCTCTGACTCTAAGACAGATTATGTAAATTACCTGTATTGGTTCCGGGGGTGGTAATATGGGGCTATGGTGGCCTGACACCTCCTGGTTACTGGGCTGTGGTATCTGTCTGTGGGGAGTTTGCATGTTCCTCCAGTGTTCGAGTAGGTACTCAGTAGGCACTCTGTCTTCCTCCCATCTCCCCAGAATATGAGGACTGGCTGACCGGCTGGCTGCTCTTGGTGCCCACTGTCTAAGGTGTCCAGGGGGATTTTGAATTCAATGCTGCAGGAGATGTTCCTAGAGTGATCAGCGCTGACTTGGGGACACAGACCTAAAGAACCACATGTTCACAGGGGGCCAGAAATCTTCTTCACCTCTGTGGCCTTGCTGAAATCTGATTCACCACCACAGACACACCCTGCTTTGACTAATGCTGGTGTTCCAAACCTGCCAGGGTCAAAGCACACCCATTATTGTAGGGGCAGAGTGAACCGAGTGTGATATCAGTCCTGAAATTGTATCTCACGTTTTGCTTTAAAATCTCCATTTCAAAGGTGCACAGTATCATCTTCAGCTGGGTGCAATACTTCAAGCAAAGTAAATAAACGAATAAGGCATCAAAACACAGCCTAGAGACCAAGAAAATCAAACAAACCTGCTCTGTCATTATCACACCTACTGTAGTGTGTAACACAGAGACACTGTGAAAAGCAGTCAAAAACATACTCAGGACCACATCTTTTAAAAGGAATGCTCCACAGAGAGGTGTAAATATGCACACAAAATTCTGTGGAAGAGGAGAACACTTCTGTCAAGCCTCACTCCTCAGAGACTTAGTAGTTTAAAACAGGTACAAAGATATACAGTATAGGAATAATTAAAAAATATGAAAAACCAGAGGTGGTCATTCAATATATGCAACTTAGAAGTTGCTAATATCCAATTAACCTAAAGATCTCATCCTGCTGTTTCTTGAAAGGAGCCACGATGTGTTCCAGGCTGCTGCAACCCTATTTGCAGAGAAATCTCTACTCCTGTTGTCAGTTCTAAAGGCACTTCCTTCTAAATCTCTGGGTGTGTGCCCTCGTCACTAACGCTGAAGCCCTCTCAAGGGCTGACACGGCCCGGGTCCCGCAGGACTGTGAATCCCCGGGTCTTGCCCCTTCCCGGTCTTCCATGTCCTAGACTAAAAAGGTTCAGTTCTTTCAGTTCTCTGTCGGTAAACCCAGGAATGTATCACTTTTCTCTTGTTTGTACTTATTTCTCGCCAGCAGTTTCTTTTTTTGTGACCTGTAGTAACCAAAATGACACAAATGAGGTCTCACTAAGGCATTGTATAATTTAACAATTGCTATCTCTTGGCATTATTCTACCCCTTTTAGCTATTTCCCTCACACACTGTTTGCTTTTTATTGCCTCCCCACAGTGCCTAGAAGATGAAAGTGAATTGCCAACATACTGTACAAGCCTGAGTCTTTTTTGAAGTAGCGTCTTCAAGCTGCATGTTTCCCATCTTATATTAATAGGATGTTTTTTGCTTCCTGCATGCAACACACCACACTTATCTAATTTACTGTAAATGTCATCAGCTCTTTGCCAGGCCAGAGCTTACCGAAAAGCAAACAGATTCTTTTTTCTAAGCTTACAAACTGGGCTGAATTTGTTATCGCTTAATTCTTATTCCTTTCTTCTTACAGTCATCTGGAGATGTACTGTAATTTTCACAAACAATAAAAACAGAGGAAATATGATGGAGTAGACATAAAAACCTACAATAGAACACGTCTCTTTGTAAATTAGCCTAAAGAGCCCCATGTGATCTGTTTTTACAGCATGTTGTGTATCACCTGCTAGTATTGTTCTTACTTCTGATGGGATAAATTCTTCTTTTCGTGTTTTGAAACAAATGCACGAGCTTCCCATGACCCCTTGACTGCTAATCTGCTCATTTGGAAAAGCAGTGCATATGCTGACATGTATGGGCCAGGTACTCCAGTATGGGCCATCTAGGCCTCTGGAATCAATTCCTCATTGGTAGCTGACACGGATGAGTAATACACTGGTGAAATGTATCTGTTTGTTTCCTCTCTGCGGAATGTATTTTTGAAAGAGTCAGCTGTGTTTCTGGTATTGCTTACTAGCTATTCTCTGAACACACAACAGAATGGGGACGTACCTCCTCGCTGCCTTATGTTTGTCATCCCTGCCTGCTTTGTCTTTTTAAGCCCAAGCCATCCATTACTGTGATGTATTTAGTAAAAGAGATATTGGTATTGCACTTTAGTTCATGAGTTCAGAATACAGTAAATCTGAGTGCTGTATCAGGATACTGGATTTTAAAAAGCTGAGAGACAGAAGAAATCTTTGGAAATCCATCAGCAATTGTGCATTGAATTATTTTAGAGGTAAAAAATGGTGCTGTTAAACAGATGTTTGGGAGGAGAACAAATTCTTGTGTATAAACACTCCCTGGCTGCCCACAGCTCTGCGCTAATCTTTTCTACACCCCTCCCTCTGCCCAGCTGCACCCCTGTAGAGAGGGGGGCTGTGACAGCACTGATCTTCAGCCAGAGCTGGCATTTTCTCAGCCAAGCATGTTAATACCAAGTACGAAAGTATCTTATTTAAACTATCTGTCCATATCCATTGGCTCTTTTGATTGTCATTATAATTTAACCAAAAATACTGAGGTGCTTATCTGTTGGGGTCTAATTTTTTAAAACTCTTTAAAGCCCAAGTAAGTCCTTGCGTACAATCGAAATGAGGTATTTTTATTTCTTGTACTGTTCATTTGACGTGATTTAACTGAGATGAATTACATTCTAACACAACGTTTCCACAGATCACTCTCCGGTGTCGGCAAGCTTGCCTGGAACGTAACGCCCTTCGAATCCCACACCCTTCAGACCCAGCCTGGGCGCAGGGATCAGGGCAACATGGAAATGTGACGGGCTCTGCTCTCCCTGCCCCTGCCAGGACTCAGTACCGCTCAGTCGTGAGCTCCAAGCACACACAACACCACCGCCTAGATATTTAATAGCTCCTCCTCGCCAAAAGACCAGGCCCTTTGTCGCACAAGATTCTGCGCAGCACCAGACACTAGTGCAGCTCTACCGAGCCTCCGCCCGGATTCAGTCCCACGACACTAACAGACCCAGAGCCACACAGCAGCCCTCGAGACTGCAGGGAAGTCTGCTGCACCACAGACCCGCTCACATGCGGCAGCAGAGCTCTGCCATGCCTAGATTCCAGAGCGGAGGGGGTCGTCACTGTTATTCTCTCAGCAAAATGAGCCCTGCTGCACAATGGGCTTCATTCGGGTCAGATTTAATGCCCTGCTAAGTCAGCCACTGGAGTGGGAGGTGAAATTTGCTGACCAATCATGAGCCACTCACACGAACTGTTAGAGACCGCTTGCTGCACTGATCAAATGTTAAGCAACAAGGGAAATGGAAAAAAAAATATCCTTTGAATTTGAAAAAATGGACTCTAAGACATTTACCCCGGTGTTAGCACTTTGCCTGACGATTACAATCTGGCCGCACATCTTGACATAGATCAATTTGATAGGTAACCACTGCTTACCGTTTTTTTTTACGATCAGATGAAGGCTTTTATTAATAACACAATGAATTCAGAATCACAGCCAGCTCTCCGAAGGTCCAGTAACTTTAAAATGGGACAGAAATTAGAGAGCATGCTTTGCTGGATACGCAGAGAAAAACAAGGGATCCCCAGCGACAACATTTCTGTAAAGCCTTCTGCTTTCCAGATGGGGAAGCCAGAAGGTGAACCACTTACCAAGCAGGCAAACTTACCCCATCCAATCAAGGTGAATCCCCAAAGGTATTTGGTATCGGAGAAGAATGCCATGAAGATGAGGCTGTGCAGATAAAGCCCCTCCACAAGGATCCAGTAATAGTTGGTTGTCAAGAAATAGATGAAGAGCAGGACTGTAATCTTGCATCCAATCTGTCAAAGTATGAATAGCACTGGATTAACATCTCTGATGGCTGCAAAAAGGCAAGATTAACTCTTTTACCCACATACACCTCTCAGACAGAACTGTTGCTAGTGTGCTCCTGTGTCAGATCGACATGCCCTTGGAAAAACTGTTAGATACCAACAGCAAGAGTTCTCTGACAGTGTGAACGTTCAGGTGCATACTGACACGACACAAGGAAACCACAGGGAAGCAGTGCGCTCAGCAAGGCTAAAACAGAAAAACAATGGTTTCAGGTCAACAAGCCTGAATAACATTGATACAACATCACTCAACAGTGGCATTCCTGACCTATTAACTTTCATCTACAACTTTACAACTTTGGAAACGGTAAGAATTTGAAAATGCTTCTCTTGTCACTTAGTGGTACAGAACAACATGAGCTCCAGTGATACTCCTAAATGGTGGACAATGTCATGAAGATGTTTTGATCTCTAGAGCAGTTTTTCATTCAAACCTGAATAGGAGTCAATATGAACTAGAGTGGCAGTTTGCAGCCCATTGTCACTGCAAACTGCAATGGAGGGGAAGGACAAGTACACACTAGAGTAAAAATCAGGTATCCTTCGCCCTCCTTCATCACTGTCTCCATGGTCAACAGCTCACTTACAGTGTTTCAAAAGACTATTCTACTTAATTACCTCATTGCATGAAATGACAAAGACTTTCATTTTCATGCTATCTAGTGGTTCTTCAAATTTGAAAGTTAACAAGGTTAGGAATACTTCACCTACAGTCAATGGACAATTAAGACAAGGGGTGTCATAAATAATAACAAGGGCACCTTCAATGGCACTCTGTAGGGAGACTGTAAGGTAATAGCAATTTCTAAAACACCAATGCACACCATAACTGGAAGTTGAAATCCTTTACTGGAGTGTGGTGAGATGCCCTCAGCATAGAAGCTCAAGCTTGTAGCTGGAAGTTGTTCAATCTCAGGCACTAAGCGAATTCAGAACTGATCAGTACTAGGACAGGAAGCCTCTAAGGAACAACAGGTTGTCATTGCACTTGATGTTGGTGAACCAGTAGGTGGTGCTCTTTCTTCTGGATCAGGAATACTGTGCTGTAGGATGTGCCATCAGAAACGTCCTACATGTTTTGTCTTTAAATTAGATTAGAGGAATTAAACCTTGGGTCCTGGCAAAACTCGGCTCTGGGCTTGCACAGTTTATCTTCTCTAAAGTTCCCCCTTAACTCAGCTAGGTAAGCAGTTTCTCACTCCTCCTCCTGATCTGATCTCCAGTGTGGCTGCTAGTGTATCACATAGGTAGGGTCACTGGTGCACTACACGAGTGGAGACTGAACTTCAGTGGTGGATGAAGTGGGTCTCCTCCTATATGTAAACTTCTTTAGAATCCTTTAGGAAAATAGCATATAAATACCAGTAATTATTATTATTATTATAATTAATTATGCATATCATGCATATCATGATTAGCATATCATGGTGTGAATGCAAAATCGTGCTGTGCTGATGACCAGTATTGTTTTGCTCAATGGCTGAATGAAGTGGCGTGTTGCAGAACACCCCTTGACACTGTACTCATCAAGGCAGGATAACAATTTAATAAAAGAGCGTTAATACTTGCCGCCACGCCACCTGCACACACACCTGCTCAGCAATTGCTGTAATTTGCTAAATACTGTCTTTCTGATGTGAAAATTTCAGGGCCAGGTGATGGGTAATTATACGCTGGAGCAAGCGTAGGCACTCCTGAAACAATCTAACCTTGATTTCAGTGCAGAATAATGTGTCTGTATACAGTAAAGACTAGATTATTTAAAACACAGAGAATTCAGCACAGTAAAATTCTACACAGACTGCAAAATAAAATGATGGTCAGAGCAATCAAAATACTTATTTCTCTAATTCTCTGAGATATTAAGCTGCCATTCAGTGTGTACTGCAGCACCAGAAGGAATTACTACATGGAATCTTATTCTTAAGGAGTAGCACCAGGGCAGTGGCTATTCCAGGGATGTTTTTATCAGCTTGCTACAGGGTCACAGGGTGACTCCTGTGTCGTTTACACTTCAATGTCAGTTTACTCACAAGGTGAAATCCGCAGTCCTTGTGAAAAAGTGTCACATCGACTTGTTTGTCTCTAAAGTGAGAAAATCTCAATTCATTCGGAGAGCAAGTTGAGCACCATGATAGAGAGCTGTGTTTCAGTCTCAACATCTGGTCTCCCTCAGCAACACTTTCTCTCTCACACACAAAAGCAAGAAAAATATTTACCAAACAAGCCTACATCCAGGGAAGAGTAATAAGTCATTAAGGGCTGATCATTAGAGAAACTGTATTATTTTTAGAGATTTTATTGGCTTGTTTTTACAGCGGCGGGTTCCTTGATGTTAAACAATAACAACAGGCACAAAGCCACTCTGACAGCGCAGTTGTCTGCCTGTTTCCTGTGTCCATGAGCTGTGACTGGGGCACATTAGGAGGCTCCCGGCCAGAATGAACAGATAACAGAAAGGCCACATCTCCTAATGAGAGCGTGAAAGAAGTGAAGAGTACTTCTGGGTTAAAAATAGCTTTCAAGGGTTTGGCTTATGATGCTATTTTGAAAACATAGTCTTCAGGCAGATTTAAAAATACATTAATTGAGGAGCACAGCAGGAACACCATTATACTGTATATGCGTGAGCGATAAGGATTCTGTTGCTTTCTGCAGTCCCGCAACATGATTTTGATATTTAGACTCATTCTAGGATTTCAGGAGTGTATTTATTGCTTCTGTTTTTTTTCTGAAGAAGTTGCCAGTGATTTAATTGCAAATCTAATTATGGGAAGTTATGAAAATCATTTACATACCGTCCAATGCCTTACAAATGTACATCCCCTTATAATTTAGGTATATGTGGTAAATTATAAGGGGATATAATTATAAGTAAGATTTTAATAAAATAAATTTGGCTACACACCCTAAAAGACATCAGTGACATTTATTCAATCTGCTTACTGCATGTTTTGATGTGCTGATGTACACTATGTTAATGTATGTATTGAAATCAGATATGTGTAATATATTGCAGAGGTGTGTTCTAAAGTGTATGTGTAACATTTATGTAAATACTATCATTTACTGTAAATTATCAAGAGCAATGTTTAGTGATGAGATTTCTAAAATAATGTTACAGTTATTCCGACTAATAGACTAGGAGAGCTATTTCATTTTTATAGCACATGTTTTTATGTTTATTCTTACCTTACCTCGCATACACATGTATGAAACATCCAAGCCTGTGGGACATGGCACTGTATATATGAAACAACTGTATAACATTCAAACTGTTTGATCCAATGGAGAGAGCATGTTTGGATCTCAAGTGGTTAAAACTACATACAATATAATGTTTTATTGACAGAATTAACAATGCTGGCAAACCTGCATCTGAATAAAACCCTTGTGAAAGCTTTTTTCGCAATGTCATTCTGTGGCATTTAAAAAGGCATAACAGCTTGAAAACGAGAAGCATTTTATAGTCTTTGGAAATCATAACTTCTGCAGCTTGAATCCATTAAAGACTCCGTCCATCAAGGGCAATCCCTAATCACATGAGTATGATGTTCTGTACCTGACTCCACATACAGTACCTGAAATGCTTAAGGGCAGTGAAAGACAAGGAATGGCTTAGTGCAGGGGTTTTGTACTAATTACATATGGTATGCCAATTGAAACAGCAATCAAGGACTTTGTACATTTCGTGAGATGAGCAAACGTAGAATATCCCAATCCTCAGTGAAAAGCAGAACGTAAATTCGGACAAACCCCCATCATCCATTGACTATGTGAATGATGTATTTTACTGCATGATATCTTCATGGCAAACATCAGGCAACATGGAGGTCTGCTAAGAGCACATGTTAGGAGCTGCAGTTTTCGGAACCGTTGAAGATGGCGAGTGAATCGAGGAAGAGAAAGGTTGCTCTGGAGATGACAGGCATTTCATACTATTTTGTTTCTTTCTGGGGAAAAAATCTAAGAATGCAATATACTATATATATAGGGCATACAGTACAAGCAACAGGACAAAGCTGAAAGGAATCTAAATTAGTTTGTCACAAGAACTCCTTTAAAAGAAAGACAGAATACAGCTCCTGTATCACTGGCTATTTCAAGGGTAAAATGTACAAAGTACATACGGCAGTACAAGACATACTGTAGGACAGGGCAGCTGAATGCCAAAACGCATAATTCTGGTGCTGCTGAGAGACAAAGACTAATGGTGATACGTTTCTTTTTGTGTTCTCGAAAGTAGCTGCCAGCACATTATCTTACATCCTGAGGGAAGTTTTCAGTATCTCTTTAGAACAAATCTTGATGTACTCAAACTCTATATTTATTTCAGCTCTAACCCAACTCCTTCAGGTTCTTAAGAACAGGAGTGTGGCTAATCTCATATGGAAAGGTTTGGGTTTTTGAAAAATTGTTGACCTCATCACCTCTTTCAGTTTTGAAATCAATGTGGCAGCTCGTGTGGACATTTTGCTCTTCATCACCGATAAGATTTCAGTTATTATACAAAGTGTGTGAAACCAATGAAGGTTCAGCTACAATGTCAGGCTAATTTCCATCTTCAAGGATATTTCACATCAAGGACTAAATTTTTGAGCTATCAAACTCCAAACAGCTATCCAATATTCCACAACAAATAACATCTGTGCCTCAAACAATTTCTAGCTGCTGTGTACTCAGTCTTGTCTCTGTGAGGCGTCATCCCCAGGAGCACGAACTCCCCCACAATTTTATTTTATTCTCCTGCACCTCTCATGTTCTGATTTCTGCCAATTAAAGAAAAAGCATGTTGTGCAAAACACACAGTTTAAGAACACACCGGTGGCAGTTAAAGCCAACATTAATAAACATATTGAGAAATACTAGGCAGAATATGAAACTTGTTATAATTTGCTTTAAAGATTCTTTTCCCAATAAAAGGTTTTAATCCAAAACCTTAAGCTAGAAATCACAGAGACCAACATCAAAGTTGATTAATGAATTTCATTACCTGTCTTCAAAGAGGTGAGGTTGAGGTGTTTTTAAAGCAAGTTATTTGATCTTTTTTCAAATTCAATACAACAGCAAAAAACTCAAATTGCTCAGGTACTTACATACTGAGTCTTATCCAGCACTGGAGCCACTGAAATGCTTTTGAAGTTGTCCATGATCATGGAGTCAAACTCTTCCCGAACTACGTTGGTATGGACGACCTTGTCTTTCACAAAGATGCTGATGGCACGCAGCATGAAGGATGCGAACAGGTGCATGTGGATGTAGTTCCTGGTGCAGTGCAACCTCCTGCGAAAGCAGAACAGCGACTCAGAAACTGTGACCTGTGTAGCTCACACCACCAGTACAGCTATTGCCAGCCCTTCCACAGCAACTGTCTCAATCTTGGCTTTTTCTTCTGGTTGTGTACTGTACATGGCATAGGCAAAAAGGAACTTTTAAAATTCAATCTTAATGTTAAGACAAGTTGAAATCAAGTGGAAAATCAGACTTGAAGAATTAAATTAATCTTTAGCAGGTTGGCAAACAGTTCCTTGTGACATTAATTGAAACCTGACTATTGTGGCTGACTTTAATCTTTGATATTTTTGTCAGGTTGCATGATAATAGGGTGCTTTTCTCCTCTCATCTCCTCTCTCATCTCACACTTTCCATTTGTAAGCCTTTGAAATTCATAATTTAATGGAAGTTAGGCTCTTTTTACCTATTATCTGAGACCAGTGCGTGTGAAATTCATTCAGGGTTGTGTAGGCTACACAATTACCTATTCAGAAGAAATGAACTGATTTCTTCAGATCATCAGTTTCTTTAGAATGAATCTGCAGTGGAAATAGAACTGACCCCATTGGGACTCCCTGCTTATGTAAAGGTTTCTTGATTAAACATCTGGGCGCAAAGGTTAGTGGACTCATTCTGGGAGTCTGGGAGACTGGCACGGAGTGTCTCACAGTAAACAGGGGCAACCAAATAACGAACCTTCAGATTGCTGATCAACACATTCTGAAAACAGCTGGCCAACTCAATGAAAATTATGTTTAAAATTTCGAGCCTTGTTCTATCCAAACTATGACAAAATGTTTTATCTGGTGTTAGAAGAACTGAATGTTCCTCTAATTTCCATTTCACAGGGCTTCATAACTGATTCACTTTAAAGCAGTAAATAAGCAGACAGCCAGTGGTGGACAGACTGTTCTTAAGCAAATGCAACCAACAGTCCAACTACTCCTGCAGTTAGTAATTATCTGGACCCTGAGATATATGAAATAGAGAAACAGAACTGTTATTTCAGTTTTCTAATCCATTTTATATACAGTACTTTAAGAAGTATAAAGCCAAAATCATGAGGTATGAATATTCCTGAAAAACGTACCAGATAGATACAAGCACTGTAGATGAACAAGCTCTCAGGGTAATTGTTGGTCTGTGGCACTAGTGAATCACTGAATACAATTGCTATTGATTTTCTTTAGATATATGGGATTCAATTAGTTGAAGAAAAGTTTTAGAAAAATAGCTGATAATAATGCCACAGCTTGTACTTTCAATGTAATAATCAACTTTCTGTATGCTATTGCAAAATTGTTCAAATTGTCCTCATTAAACAAGTGCCTACAGGTTTTTGCATTGAGAAATGCCTACAGCTATTGCACAAAGGCTTTTAATCAATAGGATTTTATCTTTGAGACTAAGGTAAATATGAAGTATGCGAGATGTGATGAAAATGTGGCTGAGGATGTTAATGGAGAGACACAAGCAGAGCAACAACATATTTTAAATGTGATTTCAAGGTGAATGTTAGATTTCTCTCTTATCCAATTCTACGTGAGAGTTTGTGCTGTTTCATTTCACTTTTTTCCTCCTAATGGACTCTTGTTCTCTAGACAGCTATTTCAGTACTTAATTATTGCAGAGACGAGTATGCACTTTTCTAATGTCACTTTTCCTCTCCTCCTGCTAGATTTTTTAAAGAGGGTGTATGAGATATTTATCTTGTCCATGAAAGCTGTTCTCAGGTGGTGCTGCACTATTTGGATACTATGAATTCTAAAACCTGACGTTCTACCTCTGTGATTCAATAATAAAATGAATGACATATTGCAGGTATTGTGCACTCCAAGGTTTGAAAATGAACTTATCTGCTAATATTTCAGTCCTGCACAAATTCCAGGTTAAAGTACAGCTTAATACTGCCTCCATCCATCCATTTTCTTCAAGGTTCAGGGCTGCTGGGGAGCCAGAGCCTATTCCAGCAAACACCAGGCGAAGGCAGGGTGCACTCTGGTCAGGGCAGACACACAAACACAGACATGCACACACACACACCTGCGCCAATGTTTCCAGAGCCAGCAATCCCATTTCTGGTGCTTGTTGGTGATGCTTGGTTTCATAAAAGGTTTTTGCTTTATAATAAGTTGAATCACCATTGAGTAACTATTTTATACAGAGAATAAAGATTTATTCAGGAGTTTGTAACATTTGATATTGGACTGTGGTTCTAAGTATAATGGTAAATCTATAGAAATTTTAATTCATAAATATCATTCTAAATGATGCAGATGATTCATTAAACTGGAGTGGATGGAAAGATTTTTTCTTCTGAGAAACCTGCATGTTTTGTGTTCTTTTGTGCGAACAATGTTTAAAATCTGGAACGAGTCACCAGTTAAAGTTGGAGAGTTCTGTTAAGTGAAAAAAATCAGTAATATATTCAGAGTAGTAGACAATTTATGTCAAAATCAGATCTTAGATATACTGTATGTCAATGAACAAGCAGGGGCTATTTCAATGCTAAAAAGTTAAAAGAAAGATGAAAAAATCAATATTTTGGCCGTGGAGCATCTTTTTTATGACAGCGTTTAGCAAATGCTGAGCCTTCGAGGCAAACCCAGATTAAACACAGAAATCCGTCGTGTCTGTAATTGCAATAATGATGTTCCAGGTAGGGTGATGTGGGGAGGAGGTAGTGTGTCCCCTCAAAGTTTTTAGAGTTGTGTAAGTGTGCTGTGGGATGGACAAGGCTGGGGTTCTCGTGTTCACACTCTGTTAGGGCCCTTGTGGTGCTCCTGCAACGAAGTCTCCCATTTTAACCTCTGGTACTCCTGAAATTGGTTGAATTTTCAGAAGATTTATTGTCTTACCTGAAGTAGCCGATGATAAAAATGGCAAGGAGGAGGGAGCTGAAAGACACCGCATATCCGACAGTATACATGACATAGAGCCGCTCGAAGAATTCCCTCTGGAAGGAAAAGTACACACACAGCATCAACACTGCAGAGTGCCCAGAGAGCCGGCTGCTCACACAGAGGTAATAAATAACTCACCTTTCCCCCTCCCTGGTCAGGCTGCAGAAATCTTAAGCAGTCCGAATAGTTTGTCCAGGTATGGTTCAAGCTTGCCACGAATTCCCATGAGCCATTATAATCACATTTCCTGTAAGCATGCCCTGAAAGCACAAGCACTCTGTCAACAAGTCAACAAGGGCTCTGACTCTGTGAGAAGCACAAGGTGAATCCATAACAAATACTGTAACTCTGTAGTACCGTTGTGGTTGAAGTCATAGATGTAGGTTGGGCAGGGGACCTTGGTCACTGTGCCTGGATAACCTCTGGGCCAGCAGATTAGACCATCCCAGTCAGGAGGGCACAGGTCATCTAGACACAGAGAGTGGGGCTTTGGTCACACACCAGAAACGTATTGGGGGGACTTTTTATTCTACTGGTGGCTAAAGGGCATCTCTCTAGCATCATAGGTCAATCTGGAGATGGCATTATTCTTCCCAAGATTTTGTTGAATGCATTAGCACACATCTCCTTAACCTTTCCCTGCTTTGCTTGCATTTTATCATTTTATTTCACACTGCTCTCATTTATGATACACCAGTATGGTTTATGCAAGATAAGACGCACCTTCCTTCACCTTATTAAACTGCAATTGAAGTTCAGGGTGATAACAAAACATTTCAAAGTCAACAAAACATGTCCTACAGTTTCTCTAAAAAAAAGTTAATTATTTTGCTTGTATTTATTTGATCAGGATTTATTTGATCATTTTCTAGTTTAACTAGTGAATATGCAAGTGTGCTTCCTACTTGAAAACTGAAACCTGTTTTACATTTACATGTTAAACAATTTCCTGATTGAGAACTGAAAAAATACTTCCTGGGAAGGTCCACAAATCAGGACAGCGGAGAAGGATGCCAAGCTTTTGCAAAAAAGCGATGTATTGATTACCCGTGCCACTCTACTTTCTCATTGATCATTCACTTAGCCATTCTGAGCAGCTGCTAATACTGTATGATAGATATTTGCATGTCAACAATTGAGTCTCTTTAATGCTAATGTATTTCCATTAATATTTCTTTTTTAGATTGTGGAATAATGATTATTGCAGAATTGTCATTTCTCATTACTGGCTAAATAAATCAATGTATGTGTCTCACTGACCAGACTTAAATCTGGTGGATCTGTTGGGACACACTGACCAGGTTCCATGATATGCCGTGATTATTCCTCAGTGTTTGTAGCAATTTCTCCTTGGACACTATGCGCAGCTGGTCCACAAAAGAAGTTAACTTTGAATTGATTCAGAAGTTTAATGGTATCTTAAAGATGCTTAAAAGGATTAATATTGAGAAATCAGAAAGCAAGGGATGATGTTCTTGCTGGACAACAACCCTCCTTCCACTAGTCCAGACTTGTGTACTTCCTACAGTAACTACTTGAACATTACTCAGGAACAAAACTATTTTCCTGCCTGTCCATTGTAAGTGCCTGTGAGACCATAATGTAAACACTTAGACACTTACACTGCAGACTGGGCTTCATATGTCTAATTAAGTTACTTAGTCTTTCCTACTGTGCACCATGCAGTATTAGTATCAACATGCAAGCTCGATCCTTGCAAATGATACTGTCAGAAAAGGACACAATATTGGTAAAGACTCTCCAAGGAATATGGTCACCGTTATACTCTTACAGGTATTGAACTGTATTGTATAATGCTACTCCCTCTGAGAGCCATTAACACTTCCAGTAGAAATTAAGGTGAATTCTTTCACCTTCTCTTGAGAATATCATTCTGATGATCAACCTTTCAATGTCATGAATTTGGAATAATTGACATAAATATTTTTAGGTCCTTCAGTAGGAATGACTGGAGATATGCTTAATCAATGCACTTTAGACAATTATGTACTGACTGGGGTTTCTGGGGCCCAGAGACTGAAGCAATTTTCTTGTCACTGTCAATAGTAGAAGCTGGTGCTGTTATGATTTATAATTTTTTTTTTACGCTTTTATCCAAAACAACTTACATTTGTACACCCTTATGCAGCTGGGCATTTTAAATGAAGTGCCTTGCTTGAGGGTACACCAGCCGTGACCCATGGGACTTGAAGCTACAATTACAAATCCCCAGTCCCAACCACTCCTAGTGATGGCTCATTGTCTGGCAACTTGCTACAAGTGTGGTGTCTCCACCTAGTAGTACAGAATATTCAGATGAAAGAGCTCTTCCTATGAATCTGCAATATATAGTGAACTGTTTTCAGCTTTTCATATACTATCCATGTCTATGGGTTGTACAGTATGTGTTTCCTTGTACAGACCAGGGACTGGGCTATGACTAAAACAATAAATTAAACTGTGGCATTTCTATGAATTTGTATTATGTATTATCGCTATTTGATTTTCATTCCATTAGGCTGATTTAGCTGGTGTTCTTAATTTAATTAGCTAAATGTTTCAATGTAATGTGAAAAAATGAGGTTGTTTAAACACATTAATTGAAGTCAGCACTCTGAAGTGACCTTATAGCTACAGCTTGAGTGGGATTATAATGGATTTGCTTGTATAAACCTCATTTCTGAAAATCTTTCAAACTTTCTCCTTCAGCCTCCCTAACTCAGCACTGTCAATTTAGTTATTGATTAGTTTGATCACATTATTTAATTTTTTTACATTATTTCTTTAGTTTTGATTTCATACTCTTCCTGTGGTTTAAATGTGCAGATTGTTATACATCCCATACTGTATATCTGACTTAATATTTAAAATAGAAAAAAACAAAATTTGTTGTGTCAATCTTTATATTGGTTAAAAGGGTATGTAATGTTAAATAAAAAAAGCAAGAAATGTTTGCAACTGTCATGAGTACTTCTGAAGGCAAAATGGAGATGTGAAACTTCATAGAATACAGACATTTTGTGGTGAATTGATACATACTGTATAACAATCTTGACCCAATGCTTTATGTATAATAAAAACATCTGTTGAAAAATATATTGATTTAAATATATTTCAAATATAAATTGATATAACATATATAAATAAATATTAATAAATATAAATGTTCAATTATCAAGCAGACTGGAAGCTACACTAAATGATATTGCAGACAGAAGACAAGAGTTGACCGTTCTTTGTAAAACAGTGTGTTAAACCTGTCAGTTATTTTTTAACCGGATGTGCACAGAACAACATTCTCAGAAAAGCACAAAGCACGAATGGTTCTTCTCAGAAAACAAAGCTCTGTGAACTAGTCTGAGAAAATTGCATTTGCTGAGTAATAAATCAATGAAGAAGACACAATGAGATATATTCTGAAGTGATATAAAAGTGTGAATGTGTGCATGGTTGTGTCCGGTCAATTGGCCTGGACAGTTTCCAGCTCCCCTGATATGCGAGATCCATTGAAACTTGGGACATCCGAGCACGACGGATCAGTATGGGTGAGTCTTGACACTTTGCTGAGCAGTGGTCAGCCTGACTACACCAAAATGCCAGTCCCTTCCTGCAGGGGGTTCGCATGCTTTTGAGGACTGGAGAGTGAGCACACCTCCACATTCTAGTCTCCAGGATGAGACCTGTTACACCAGTGCATTATCCTAGTGATGCGTTTACAACTTTCCATATTTACCTCAACACAAACAGCCACACAAGAGAGACTGTACACTGTTATAAGAGCCAGGTGACTCCACACGACATTTTTTAATGAATCTGTGTGTAAGCCAGAGGTGGCTGATAATTGCAAGGGACTCTTCACCTACCTGTAGGTTCTTGGGCTGAAATATTCAGGTCACACTGTAACTTGGCATCAATAAGAAGGTATATTTGCTCCTCTGTTGTGATGCCACCATCGGAGCCGATCTGTGGAGGTAATGAACAACTGAATTCAGCTCATGGAGATTCTCAGGAGTCTGTCTGCATGGAGACTGCACGTTTTTTCAAGTTCATGAGCCTTCTGTTAGAACACCGGTTTCCTCCAATAATCCCAAAGCATCTAGTTTATGTTACTTGATGTATATGATTGGCCCCTGTAGTTGTGTTATTTCCTGCATCCCAGCTCCTCACAACAATCCTCTGAGAATAAATATCACCCAAAACAACTGGATGACTCAAAAGTCCTTTAGCTTATAAACTTTTCAATGTTTTATTTTTAACATTTTGTCTAATCATGTTACCTGCTAACTACATCAAGTGTTAGAATCAATCCTGTTTTTCAGTACTAGTTTTTTTATTTTAACTCACAGTTTTGGGACTCTAAGTTTGGGCTTGTGCTCAAACCACTGAAATTACTGTTCAAATATGTAAAGCGCAATGAATATTGACGGATGGCAGCATTTTTCCGTATAAAGAATCTCTTCCTCTGTGCAATACCCTAGTGGACACAAAAGCAAACAAGCCTGACCTCAACACCTTTCTGCGCATGCTCTCCGTGGTGTGTGTCACGCATTCCTGTGTGGAACAAACGCTCACGCCGTAAGTCACGGACCTAAAGTATCACCGTTCACTCCCGACACTATTCCGCGTGGTATTTTCTCTTGCTGTCTAATTGGTCTCAGACCTTGCTTGCCCTCTCGTTTACGATTTAGTCTTGTGATTCGGATTGTTGCTCTCCTGCTGTCTCAACTGTTATCAGACCTCCTTGCTCGTTTCAAGGATTACGTTTTAGCCTTGTGATTTGAATTGGTGTTCTCTCTCTCCTGAGTCCTGCACAGTGTCCATACTCCCTTTCCTGCCTCCTGTTACAGCGTGCTTACACGATTTGTAAAACAGTGTTCTATCAATGCCTGCATCTATACTGTTGTCACTGAATAATTCATCTATCGATTAACTATTTTTCACACTGCAGTATGCCTGGTTTGTTTATGCTGTTGATAGCTCTTGAAGAATTTAAATGCAAACGACTGTATGGGCATTTAACCATCCCGTTATAAAGTAGCAAAGTGAAGAATGACTTTCCTTCCTGAAGTGCAAGTCACAGTTTACAGTAGAGTATAGCACAGTGGTGGCAGCTGATTAGTAGTGACTTCTATTACAACCTCTCTCAACAATATGTCCTCTTTTATGACACCATTGGAAGTGTTTGCACAGTGAATTTGAGACTTCTCTATTTTTAGGTCTAAACCCAGATCTAAACTGTGAATCTAAGTATAAATGTATACAAACAACCTCCAGTGTGACATATAAAATATCCTTCCTCCACATGAGGCTCCCATCCCGAGTGACCGCTCCCTTGTCCCTGTGAGGGCCAGAGCAACTGTCCCTCAGCTCCAGGGTGACAACCACACGTAGAACTGGCTGGGTCTGATGTGTCTTCCAGAAAGGAAAAGGAAAAATAGACTAAAGATGCTTGATATCTTTGTTAAAGTACTTATTGTATGTGTTGGGAATTAATCATTAAAATTGCTTTTCTCTAAGTTTTTAAGGAGTGTAAAAACGTGTAAACCCTTGAGCTTAATTTGTGCGGGAGAGGAAGGCACTGTGCAGCAAGAGATCTGCTCTTCTAATGCATTACAAATATCCTTCATATATATGCAAAGATATCAGAAGGGAGGAAAGGAAAACAAAACATAAGTGTCTGCGCTTTTTCGTGTGTTGCACAAAGACTGTGAATTTGTTTTTTCATCATGGGGTTTAGTTCACTGGAAAGGTGCAGGTCCTTCTGTTGTCTCACTGCAGTAATGAACATTACTGGCCTGCTAATGTTAATCTCCAATCAAGGCAATTAGACTCTAACAGTTTAAAAGCCAAGTAAGGCATTATTAACCAAATACAATATCAATTAGCATTTCGAAATTGATTAATTGAATGCATTCACTGCTTTCAAATGTTTACAGTTTAAATCAAGGACTGAGACCTGTGCTGAAACACGTGACTAAAGCATACAAGAATAAAGCAGGCTAGGCTGAGCCTTACAGTTTCTGCACTGGTACTATCAAGCTGAGAAACAGATAAAATGTCGACTGATAAATAATGGCACAACCACGAATTGCAAAACCTCAGCAATCTAGCAACTGGCTGTGACCCCTCTGTTGCAACCTAATTCATCAGTTTGAAAGGCAAGGCAGTTTGTAACTGCTGTAAGACCAACTGCAGGCACTCAAAGCACTTATAATAAACAAATCTCCCAGGCCTGATGGTATTCAACCGCTGCATTCAAGAAAACACAAGGGCTATCCGTAGGCTGTTTGCAAAACTCTTCCAGCAGTCACTCAAGACAGGGATACTAGCCACTGAATTGTCACAGCAGCAGCAATTCACAAAAAAGGTGACAAACCAGATCTAGTGATTAAAGACCTTTCAGCCTTGTTTCAGCATGGATCAAGAGATTTAGAAAATAACTTGTTTAACTTATTTGTTAATGTTTTTATCAACAGCAACAGTAGTAATGCTCACCAGCCCAGTATATGATACAGTATATCTAGATTTTAGAAGGCTTTTAATAACGTTACTCATAAAAGAACCACTCTGAAAATATGGTGGCAGGAATTCAAGGTCATCCTTGTATTTAGATTAAGAAGTGGAAAATTGCTTGAGTTACAAATGACAGAAATTACAGACTACAGATAATCAATACTCAAAGCAGGGTGATATCATTAGTGGAGTACCACATTGATCAATATTAGGACCACTGCTCATCCTGATTTTTGTGATCTGTATTCTGACATAGTGAATAAAGCAGTCAAGTTTGCAGATGATACCGAATTAGTAGGTTTCACAAACACTACAGAAGCTGCAGAGGATATATAAAAGATTTGGAATTCTATAAACATCTTTTCATTAACACCTGTCATATTGCACTTAATATAGACAAGTGCAATGTATTATATGCAAAAATAAACAACATGATCTACAAATATGAAATTGGAAACAACGAATTTGAATAAGCTACCTTTGTAGACATTTGTGTTTTTATGTTGACATGTCATTTACTGTATGTCATCTGTACAATGTGGATGGGTAATGATTAGAAATGTCTATATATTATTTTGATAATGCACTTCTGTATAAAATAATACCTTATGAAGGTACATGCTTGTGAGTCATATACTGGTATAAAACGTTCTTTTTCCACAGTGAAGTACATTTTCCTGGACGAAAACATACTGTACTGTTTTGTATTGTCATTAACACTTTTTTGTTTTTGTTACCTATTCAGTATTAAATATTATATTTATGTCTAAAAAGGTAACCAGGCAGAACTAGTAATACAGCCATTTACTGTGAATAAAAAAAGATATATACATGAAAAAGAGGAATATAAAGAATAAATCTGTTCTTAACAGAAAATCTTTTTAATAACATTTTAAAAGGAAAGAAACAGGTTGTACATCGCAGGTACAAATCTTTCACTAGAGTTCTTTATATAAAAGCTCTAAAAGAAGGTTTTTGTTATGCCACCTGCCATGTTCCATGGTCATTGACACATTGCAATGGCAAAGTTAAACGCTGAGATATCTGTCTTGGGATTCTGACCATTTTCACGCAAAATTCAGAATCTGCCCATGGAGGACTCTAGGGATTTGAGCATATTAACATGCTTGGCTTTATTGACTTCACATGTTATTAGCGATTGAGCACACTGCTGCACTTCCACTTCAGGCGTACAGAATTTCAGGCAGTAGACACTGTAGTTTCATTGACTGTTGGCTTGTCAAATTACAACCAAAGGTGGCAAAGCCCTTTTTCTGCACTTGCAAGCTGAAGGACAGAGACATCTCAGAGCAATGGAATCATAGGTTTATTCCATGCTGAAAGAGAAAGAGAGAAAACACAACGTTTCGGCTGTGAAGCCTTCTTCAGGTGTGAGAAAGACAGGGCAGAGAGCAAAGATTAAACAGCACAGAAGAACAAAGTCCTCCAAGAAGGGTTTTTCAACTCCTATAGCAGAAAAACAACAGAAACGAAACTCATCCTGAAACTAGTTACACACCATCCCTCTCCTCTCAATGACCGTTCTTCTTTCATGTCATCTTCTCTACTCTCATGCAGGTTTTGACTTCACACCTTTCTTCACCCCTCTCCACTTTGCATTTCCTGAGTGGCCTTTCCTCCCCTCTCCCAGCTTTTGCTCTTCTGTGCTGTTTAATCTTTGCTGTCTGCCCTGTCTTTCTCACACCTGAAGAAGGCTTCACAGCCGAAACGTTGTGTTTTCTCTCTTCTCTTTTCAGCATGGAATAGACCTGTTACTTGTTCCTTTGCAGACTATGCATGCTAACGCAGCTGCCCAACTGAGCTATCTCAGAGCAATGCCATACAACAACCTTGCAACAGCCTGAAAAGGAGAAAGGCTTGAATGGAAATAGAATAATGCAACAGCATTCACATCTTTATCTAACTGTACTGTCCTAGACATTGAAATTAGAGTTAGAGAGAGAGAGAAATTAGAAACCTAGCATAAATAGGAGCCTCAGTTCAAGGTCTCCAATGGAAGATCCTTTCAGAAAACATCCTTTCATCATTCTGAAAGCAAGGTCGAGATTCCGCGTCTCAGAGGGAAGGATCCCAGACATTGTGAGTTACTGTAGTACCACTTCCAACAGGAATCAGTCTCACAATGTCAACTCCACCGACAGAGCGGCCCAGTCCTTGCTGAATTCTGGGTCCGTAATGAAATCAGCCTCCTTGGCAGAATATCTTCAGTATTGTCATGATTTTCTGTAACTCTCACAGCCTTCAATAATTTCACACTACACTCTGCAGCAATCAGGCGTGGAGTTTAAAATGAGCTACAGGTTATCCTGTTCCATTACATTCCAGTCCTTACCTGGTTTAGCTGCTGTGTTCCTTACAAGAGAAAGGGGGTCAACATCAAGGATCGTGGCAATGCCGAGCTCTGGGACAACTTGAGCCAAATCATTTTGTTCTCTGTGTGTTGGTCCCGTGCAACATACTGATGACAAATACAGTTTCTTCTCTTTATTTGCTGGATGTGTAGGTTAGACACATCGAATGCCATTTGCCCAATACACACAAACAAAAAATACCAATCCAGGAAACAAAAAGCAATTTGAAGCACTGCAATTCTGCTGATGGCTCCAAAAGAGCTCAATGTACTGTATACCTCTGATTGAATCGATTTAGCTTAGAATGGGAAAAAGCTGAACCTTCTGAAACAGATTATTATATTATTATATTATATTATTATAAAACTATTATTCGCAAAAAAGCAAAACATAAGAACTACACAGATTTCTGCAGTGCTGGATTCATAACTACAATGTAAAATAACATGTCTGTTAAATAAAAAAAAAACTATTGCACCTAATTATAAATAAAGCTCCCATTGACTAACTACCTGAAAGTAACAGACGTTTAATTATATTACTCCTCCAATTAAATTGTTTCTTTTGCATCGTGCTGCAGGTTTTTGATTGAATCTTTGATACAGTTTTAAATTCCGAATCCTTCAAGATATTTAATTGTTTTCCTCTTGTGATAAAACACTTAGAACAGAACACACACTTTGAAAGCAAGTTGACTATTATTATTTGCCTGCTGGACAGTTGGATTTGGTTGAAACTGCATTATTATAAACTGACCTGTTAAGTTATGGGATGTGCCTTTTCAGTAGTTAACAAAACAGTTTGTGTCAATAGTACTCCTCAGGGTCATTCAGAGGTAATACCTTTTCCCAGCGGCGTTAAATGAAACCAACAGAAAGTACAAATTGTCCTATGATTTTTGTAGTAATAAAGCAGTGTTATTACGATACTGAACTAAAATAGTAAATTCCACAGTAATATTTTAATTAGTATTTTATTCTTTGTAAATACCTAATTAATATTAATATTATTATAAACAGAACTATGTCCTTCTGGTTTAAACTATTATTACTATGAATTTCTTATTCTTATTCTTATTCACCTGAATGTATTATTATTGTTGTTGTTATTATTATTAATATTATAGCAGCGCTAGCTTTATTTAAATAAATAAAAAAGTGTTTATTATAATCGTCAACTCCAGGAATAAAAGACCATGAATACATGATTCTGCTGAACGGATCTGAAAGTTCTTCAAATGGGTGTATAGACCTTCATCTTAAGGTCACTTCATAAATGTCAAGAAATTTAACGAATGTCAAATATCTACCGAGAGGTTAAGACACACTGCGGCCGAGCTATGAAACTACTGTGCGCTGACTGCGGGCAGAGCGAGCAAGAATCGATTATATTTACCAGACGACAGCAAAGGATGGAGAGCTAAATGATGAAACTTAGAAACTGTTCGCAACAATCATCACTCATTGTTCAAGCGAACATGCGTTAGACGCAGACAAACTGCGGGTTGTCTGAAACGCGAACAGGAGAAGAATTCAGATCGGCTCCGACCTTTCTTACCTGCGAGTCGACTACACCGCAGCACCAAAGCACTTTGGCAAGTTCCCACACGAAGGACTTCCTCATACCTGTCGCTGACTGACCACACAACCCGACGAATTGTGGCACTGGGTGTTGAGGTTGTGTTAAAAGACAACGAAGATTCTTCCCAGAGAGCTTCTTATTATTTTAATTCGGAGTGTCATACAATATTCACGTAAAAACGAAGTTTTCAGTGCTGTGACACTCTGACGATCAGTCTTAGTTTTGTGCTACCCCCTTTCAAGTCCCAGCGTCTCACTTCAGAGAAGCTCCGCTTTTCCAAGCATTTTCTGAATTCTGCTTTTCTTTTGTGAGAAATGACCACAACCTCGAAAATTAAAATCCAAGAGGGCATGCCTTCTCTTGTGTTACTTATTCCCATCTGTGCCGTATTTCATGTCTGGAAGGAGGAGAGAAAAAAGTGCCCAACAAGAGAAAAGAGGGTTATTGATGGAGTTGTCGATTCGGTGAAACTGCGGGCGAGCTGCTCCTTGAATGAGGCATTCGTATCCTGCGCGTTAATTCGCCCAGTCGTTTAAACTCGTCTGTCAGCCGCTGAAATCAGGCTGACAGTTTATGTCAAGGGAAACTCGCCGGTGCTGGGTGTTTGAGAAGCCGAAGCGCCTAGATGCAAGGGGAGCGCAGAGCCGCGAGTTTGGGAAGAGTGAACACGCTGTGCGGGCGCGCTCGCTCTCCCGCTCCGCCGTCTGGAACCGGGAAAGCGGGAGCGCTGGTGATCAACAAGGTACCCGAACCATATCTGGGAAAGTGTCACAACCTCCACCCACCCAGCACCGTCGGCCCCCCTTCGCTAACCCTTTCACATATTCTGTTAGACGAAGTGTGAATGCGACGTTCGCACGAGATGCGTATAAGGAGTATTTGGTCTCTGTTCCGTCTTGGTCAATAAGGATTCTGTTTTTCCAAAAATGCCCCAGTGCTTAAGAATTTATGAATCATAATAGTACCTAATAAGGGTATATATTCCTTGCTATACACAAAATAAAACTACTGTACATTTTATATTTGTCAATTTCAGGGAATATTTCAGATCGCAACGAACCCTGGCCAACAAAATTATTTCTACAGTGTTTTTCTAAAAAGAACAATACAAGCTATTATTATAGCTGAGACCCACACCTGATTTGTGAAATTATTGAGTATGTAGCAGTATGTAAAGTTTATTGTCTTTTTAAAACTTCCGAACTGATGACAAAGGTGAAATTGAAAGAGTTATCTCTGGGATCTGTGCAATTAATAGTAAACGTGCTTGGTTAGCGGGCAGAGGAGTTGTGAAGCTGTCCTTGGTGCTGAAACAGCAGTCCTTCCCGGATGCTATCGTGCCGTCTGCTCGCATCATTTGAGGGTAGCGTTAATTCTCTCTTCTCCACACAGTCTCTACAGCCAGAGGTAGGGCAAAATCACAGCTGTCTCAGAACATCACTGGTTATAAGGGTGCAAAACTATGTGTGCCGAAAAGAGAACGTTGTTTGCTTTAGTGCTTAGGAGAGACACTCCGCACTTTTTAAGAGTCAAATGCAAATTCAGTAAGGGGTTGTTTTCATCTGAAGGTCTTCTGTATAAGTAAGTCTTAACACTTTAGTTACTTAGGGATGACAATAAGTATTTTGGATACTTTTGGAATAAAGTAGTATTATATGAGATCTTTAAGCAATGTACCTGAAACTATTTGCTCTTTAGAATAGAAGAAACGGTAGATTCTAGCGCTAGGAGAATGCGAGAACCTATTCTATTTTGAAAAAACAAGACCTTCTGTATGAATAATATAATCATAACTTTAACTGTGTAGTACTTTAAAGTCATTATCTAACTAGTTGTCAATTCTATCCCAGCACTATTCAGATTGCAATGCTTTAATAATCATTTAGATAGTGCTCCTTTTATCCTTCTGCCTGGTAAATGGCACAACAAATACAGTTGTGTTGTCATTCACAACGGCCTTCAGACATGACCTGGACATGACCTGGATTAATGTTGTCAGGCGTTAGTGTGACAGGACAGGGGTACTTCAGGTTCTGCTCCCTTTGGAGGTGGAGACTTGTTGGATGTTTTAGTATATAACGTATTCCTAAGTGTATTTTGCTTTTATTTTATTTTTCTGTTAAAATGGGAGTGAGTCTCTGCTAGGCATTTTAATTATGTCTTCATTATGGGGGCGGTGTGGTGGCTCAGGATCTGTGCCTATGGCTGGAAGGTTGCCGGTTTGTATCCCACAGCCAACAGAGGAATCCTACTCCATTGGGATCCTGAGCGAGGCCCTTAACCCTAACTGCTCCAGGGGCACTTATAAAATGCTGACCCTGTGCTCTGACCCCCAAGCTTCTCTCTCCCTGTCTGTGTGTCTCATGGAGAGCAAGCTGGGGTATGTGAAAAGATGAATTCCTAATGCAATAAATTGTACTGTATATGGCCAATAAAGTGATCTTGCCTTCTTAAAGAAATGTCAGCATGTACTGTACATTCTCAGAACAAATCCATACAATTAACCCATCCTGTCTGCCCTAAAGCTGGTGGTTGTTTATTTATGGAGCATCTGTTCCTTCACTCAATAAATTCTGTATCCTTCTCAAACACATTTATTGGTCTTATACATTTTCAATAGGGAAAGATCCACAAATGTGTTGGATTATTACAGGTTTTCTTTTACAAATTGTTTTATAGCTTGTTAAACTCACATTATGAGGAATTTCTAGTGCAACAATTGAGCAGTGGGTGGTCTCTCTGCAAGTGAGGTGGTTCAGTGACACACAAACGGTTAACTCATGGTCTCTTGAAGAAATAGTGGTAGAAATAAGAGTAGATAAGGTTTTCTGATTTAAAAGAAAATATCAGTTATTTCTCATTTTGCCTCATGAGTAAATTGAGCACAATCAGCACACACAGAACAATGTTTGTGTTGGCAATTAAATATTGTTTAAATTAAAAATCTGTAAGCTGATTCTACTGTATTTGCTCTTTAGAAACGAATATAGTCTCTAAACCATAAACCAAAGCTGCTTTCACAATCCAGTTTCTCTCTCACTTTAAATTTTGTCTTTTTTTGAGGAAAGTAATTTTCCAATGCTTGTTATTTTTAGCATTTTTGATTTAGACTCATTAAAAAATCCTTTACCTGTACACTGAGTGCCAGCATAAAAACTTATCACTCTATTGCTGCTTGTATTTTATTTTAATACATAGAAATACAGTATACAATGTAGATATTGATTAAATGTACTACAAAATGATTAAATAGATTTTGATTAAATGCTTTGGTGTCATTTTGATTAATTGATCATCCAGGACTGACCATAATTCACTCGAGTGGCTGAACGATGCATAAACACTAAATCACCTCATTAGTGAGAGAGCTGATTGGACACAGGTGATGGGGTGATTTAACGTGTTGAGCGCTAAGCCTTGTAAATATCTAGAAAAAAACACAGAAACAAACATGCAGCCTTCGTACCACCAGTGTATTGGAGCAACACGCACGTCCAGTTCCACTGGATGTCAGGGAGTGTGGGGCAGATGTGGAGAATGAAATGCTAATTGTTGTGGAACTGACCGATCAGCCAGGATGCCCCTATGCGATTTAGATCCATCGCTGCTCAACTCTATCTGTTGTGATTGATGCCTACTAAAGTGCACAGCACTATAATAAGCCCTGGGACCTCATTTGCTGCCCTTCCTGTGAGCTCATCCTGATGTGAGAACATTCCAGTTGGGCAACACACACATCCTTATGCTGTGCAACTCAAGCTTTCTTGCAAGATGAGAACGTGACAGCTGTGCTGTGAATGCCTTATGAGCTAGATTGGAGCCCCATTGGACACTTTTGGGGTGAGCTGTGATGACATGTGGCATTTAGGGCTTAAAGACCAGTGAACAAGCACATGCTTATCCAGGCTGTACTGGAAAAACTGGACAGAATCCCTCAAAAAAGCATCTGTGACCTGGTGCAAAGTGTGTGCTGCAGATGTACTGTACAGCTTGTATTGCTCCCAACACATGCGATGTAGCCTGTAACTTTCACAGTGACTGAAACCCTAGTGACTAACCCAGTTGATGACAAATCTTAATCAGCAGAGTGATGCTCTCCAACATTTCATGCAATCTCAGTACACCTGCTGCAAAATAAAAGTTTACCATTTCCTGATACATTTGTGAATGTGTTGCAGTCGCTCCTTTTAGCAAAGGATAAAGTAAATGCAATACATAATTGACTGCAACAGATATTCAATATGAGCCAATGGTTTCATTCACTCATAATTCCCGAAGTGCAGAGACCACGATATTCAGTGTGGTATACACTCCGTTACACAACATGCGCTGTTGACGTGCCCCTGCTTGCTGTGCTGCAGAGTACCAGAAATCATTTCATGCTGCCTGTAGGTTCTCCTCCCCTGATCACACTCCATTCTTCACAGCAATGCCTTCAATATATTGCTGCTCCCAGGAAACCTTTTCATTATTGGTTTTGTAAATTCCTGTTAGGATATGAATCGCAGTGCAACGCACAGAGCTGATCCAGTGTCTGTATTTACTTCGCAACTCATTTAATTAAAATGTAACACCTTGTTTTTTTTTTACTAGATGGGGGTATATAAATGAGATAATGGATTTTAGGAACTTAATATCCTGATAAAAGAACTAAAGACAGTGCCTGCTGCACTCCCACATATGCACAAAATGAATCACAGTTTGTCTAATTCTTCAAAAGTTATAAAAGGAAAGCATTAAAATCTGCAATAATAAATTCTGTCGCTGTTATTTTTTTCCCCACAGCATATGTAAGATTTTAATGTGCTGAATGTACAAAAACTTGACTAAATACATAATGTGCTATTTTGTTATCTATTTAAGTAACATATGCATCTGTAAGGTGTTATAGACTATTAATGTGAAATTAAACTGTCAGTTTGTGTCCAGGCGTCATATGAGTGAACACTGGGTGTTACAATTCTTCCTAATTAGGTCTCCTTGTAGAGGAAGACAATGAAAACAGCAGAATACAGTCACTCTGAGCAATGTTGGGCTACGTGAGGAAAAAGGGAAGTCTCAATCTTTTTTATTGCGGGCCGAATATGAAGGTGCTCACTTTTGAAAGAGTATTGATTCTGTGTCTAAGACGAGAGCACTCTGAGAATCGCAGTGCTACTTACCATTTTTAAGCACTGTTATTCAGCAATGGGCTTCAAACAGAATGACACTTATCTCTGTCACACACGTCCTCAAGCTCCTTAGCTCTTACCTGTGGTCTTACCACATTTTAATGATTTTTCCTCTGTTGCTTGTTTTAAAACAAAACGGAAGCGTCAGGTCTCTGAGAGGGAATAGCTCATAACTTGCAGCGGCCTTCAGATGGGTGCAGTGAAGCAGGGGAGGAGGTGAAGGGGAAAGACAGGCTGTTACATGTATCAGCTGACAACATTGATGCACTTTAATGCACCTTTGAGGTGTCTGAAATTAAGGCTTTCATGCATCTACTCTGTATTATGTGTATGAAATGTCACACTGTACATATCTTTGAAAATGAATGTGTGTGAGTCATCTAACTAACTGTATTACCTGTTCAGATTGGACCACTGTGAGGTGAAAACAAGTTAAAATCTAGCAGTACTTTATAATACATATCAGCTCAATTCGCACAAGGAACCAGTTCTTTAATGTGAGAGAGGAATACAAATACCTAGTTAAACTACCTCACTTTTAAAAAAATTCAGCACTGCGTGTGCTACATTTTTTTAAATTGGTGGTATTTCCACAATATTGTGCCAACTGTTAAGGTAAGG